CCAGCAGCTGATTGTCTAGAATGTCGCAAAAGTAAACAGAAGAAGGAAAATAAAAAAAGGCAGTGGGCTGTATAGACACTTGAACCTGCTGCTGCTGCTGCTGCTGCTGCTGCTGCTGCTGCTGCGGATTAGACTCTTGAGGGTCTGCCTGCTGCTTTCCGCTTCTCCCACAGGTATTCGATGTTTCATCAAAAGCAAAAGCAGCAGCAAAACTGTGCTTCGCTTCGCCTGCTTCAGTGGTTGCTGCTGCTGCTGTTGCTGCTGCTGCTGCTGCTGCTGCTCGCTTCTCGCTGGAGCAGCAGCAGTGGCAGCAGCAATTTATGAATGTGGGGGGCACTTGGGGCTCGGGATCAAGTGGGTCAATCGCTATGGAGCAGCAGCAACTTTGCTCAGCAGCAGCAGCAGCAGCAGTTTGCTCCTCCTTTTTTAAAGGCACAGGTGCTGCTGCTGCTTCTACTGCTACTGCTGCCGTAGGGGAGGCTGCTGCTGCTGCTGTAAGGGGGGCTGCTGCTGCTGCTGCCGCTGCTGCTGCTGCTGCTGCAGGCAGCGCGTCTGTTACGGATTGCTGCTGCTGCAAGTAGCAGCAGGAGCTGCAGCTGTAGGCAGGCCTCTTGCCGCTCTTGCTGCTGCTGTTGCTGCTGCGGTTGCTGCTGCGGTTGCTGCTGCTGCTGCTGCTGCTGCGTCTGCCCCTCTTCCTGCGGCTCGCTCGGCCTTTGCTGCTGGTCGTTGTGCTGCAGCGGCTGCTACTGTTGCTGCTGTTGCTTCGTTTGCTGCTGCTGCAGCATCTGCTAATCGATGTACCGACTTTTGGGCAGTAGCAGCTGCTGCTCGTCACCTGTGAAGGGACGGGCGTGCTGCAGCTGCTGCTGCTGTAGCTGTTGCTGCTGTGGCCGCAGCTGTACCTCCTGCAGCTGTAGCTGCTGCTGCTGCTGTAGCTGCTGCCACCGCATGCAGCTCGTCTGCTGCTGCAGCGCTTGCTGCCCCTGGGCACGACACATTTTGCCGCAGCAGCAGCTGCTGCTGCTGCTGCACCGGTAGAAGGATAGAAGCAGCTGCTGCCGCTGCTGC